TGTCCTACAGCAGAGTAAGTATAATACATGGTTGCTATGGATCAAAAACTCAAGATTGTTAAATCTAAACAAGAGCCTCAGGCTCTAATGCCAATTGTTACCCAAAAAGCGACCTAAGAGGGGGGTGAATTAGGTTTCTACAAATTAAAATTAATAATACCCCAATAAAATTAACTACTAGTACAACAAATTATTAACAAGCATAATGATGAACTTAACAGTAGATGATCAAGCAAAATAACAATGAAATATAACTAACATAGAGGGTAAATCAAATGATTAACACATGAATATTAAATAGCTATAGCAGTAGTAGGAAAGTAAAGAGATTAGGGAAGAGGAGACAAACAGATTTATAGTGGTTCGACTTCGACCAAGCCTACATGCACTCCTGAAGCTTCACTTGAGATTTTCTACTATCTTCTAGCTTCACAAAGGTTCTAGCAACCTCACAAACATGGAGCAATTCTCCATAAATTTTGCACAGACTTCACAAGCCCAAACCCTTGCAAATCTTAGGTGATTCACAATCACTCTCAAGATTTCAAGAACACAGTGTTTGCAACACTTTTACAAGATGAAATGGTATTTTTGCTTTCAAAGAAAACTTACAATAAATATCTCTCCCAGATGGATATACAAAATGAAGCTCTGGTTTTTTTGTAAACCTCACACAAGAAAGATAAGCTTAAAGCTATACGTCTCAGTGTATAATTTCTGAAAGAGGATGTAAAAAAAAATTGAATAACACTTCTCAGAGAATTTTTCAGAGAATAGATGCGAGTGATTATAGATCAAAGAATATTTTCTGATTTTTTGTAACTTATTTACATTAGAGACTTTGGTATATATAGTGAAACTTATAGCCGTTTATAACCGTTGTATTCATTTGAATTTATAGCCATTTATAGCCATTGTACTTAGTCATTACTAATTTGAATTTCTTTCATTCCATCATTACTAATTTGAATATCTTCCATTTGAACCTTTTGGCCTGCTGCTGTGCTGGGCTGGTTGAACCTTTTGACCTGCTGTTGGGCTGGGCTGGTTGAACCTTTTGGCATGCTGCTGTGCTGGGCTGTTTGAACCTCTGTTTTGAGCTATTTGAACTCCTGATTTAATCAAATATTAAATACATTCTAACAACATTTAGGATAAAGGTTTAGGTGAGAAATAATGGGACAAAATAAATTTTGATTCTATTTTTCTCTTTCAAATAAATTAAAGCATAACTAAATAAATCATCAAAATAAATTTTGATTCTATTTTTCTTTTTCAAATAACTTAAAATATAATTAAATAAATCATCAAAATAAATTTTGGATTATATTTTTCTCTTTCAAATAAATTAAAACATAATTAAATAAATCATCAAAATAAATAAGTCTAACACTTTTAAGTGTCTTTTCATTCATGGTCTATCTTCTCCACCTACTACTACGACTCCCTGTATGTAACAAACAAATATTCCAAAATAAAAAAACAAAAATAAGAGGACACAATAAAACAGTAGTTAGTGTAAATTATGTTACAAGTATGGGGTTGGTTGTATTTTTTCAAATCTCAAGGAAGGTTAGTGTAATTTATTTAATCAAAAAAAAAATTAAAAAAGAAAGAAAGGTTCTACAGCTACAAGAAAATAGAACTTGTCAAAGTGAAGCTTCACTTCCTCCTCCATTAAACTATATGGTGTTTATACTCTTGAGCATTAGAAATAATAAACATGATTTCAGTTCAATTAATTTACATATTTTTAGAAGTAACTATTTATGTATTGTTCATGTATTGTCAATATTCATGTATTTTTGAAATTCATGTATTCCTAGAAGGAATATATCTAGGAAGATTCTTATATGGTACATTGGATGTATAAGATGTATTCGTTTCTTAGTTTGTCCATTAGAGTATATAAATACCTCATGTATCTAAGTGTTCTAAGCAAGTGGAATCAAATATTGAGAGTTAAGAATGTTGAAAGTGGGAGAGTGGTGCATACCAGTTGTGATGGTATACAAAGAGAGGAATTAATTGAATAAGCATTCATTTTATTCAAACTCAAGCAAATTATACAAAACAAAGCAAATTATCTGTTAACTCTCAAACTCTTTACCTTCTTAGAAATCTCCCACTCCTGGAGATGTTGTTCTCCTACTCTTGGAGATATAATGTTTTTCTCTAAAGATTACATTTCTTTCCCCACTCTATCTAAAATAATCACACAACCTATCTATTTATAGATTTCACAAACGTGTGTGTGCGCACTACAGTGTGTCTTCCTCCCTTAAGCTTTATCAATGGAGCTTCTTTGAAGCTTTCTCTTCCTTTCAACTGCTTTCATTTTCTTCTTCATTTTGAACTCCTCCTCTTCACTCTTGAATGCTCTGACAGCTTTTTCTCTTCTCTAGAATTTAGTTGTGGTGATTCACAAAGAGAGGAATACAATTGAATAAACATTCTGTTTATTCAAACTCAAACAAATTATACAAAACAAAGCAAATATCTCTGTAAACTCTAATACACTCTCTAATATCTTAGAAATCTCTCACTCCTGATATTGTTGCTCTCCCACTCCTAGAGATATTATGTTTCTCCCTGGAAATTATATTTCTTCTTCCACTCTTTCTAAAACAACCACACAACCTATCTATTTATAGAGTTCACAAATGTGTGCACGCTACAATGTGTCTTCCTTCTTAAGCTTTATCAATAGAGCTTCCTTGAAGCTTCCTCTTCCTTCCAGCCGCTTCCATTTTTTTCTTCATTTTGAACTTCTCTTATTCACTTTTGAATGCTTTGGTCTCGAATTCATCATCTTCAAATTCAAATTGAGTTTGTTCTTCCAACAAAGAATTCATTTTCCCTCTTGCAATCTCTCTAGCATTAGTATGATCTCTTATATTTCCAATAATTAGAAGAGCTTATTTCATATGAATCATATATGCATGAATAAGAAAGTGAGAGGGCATAGATCACTTTATAGAAACCCTAATCTTTTTGAGTACTTCAAGTCAACTTAGGGTTGGTTTGGCAAGGGCTCATTGGGCTTTTTTGGCTTAATGAGCCATAAAAGACAGAATAGGCTCATGAGCCACAACAGACAAAACATCTCATCCAACCCCATAATCATTACACTATTCTCTCACAAAAAAATCAAAAAAGCTAAAAAGCCAAAAGCCCTTCCCAAACTAAGCTTTTGAGCTCAGGCTCATATAGTCAAAAAAGTCAAAAAGCCAACCCACTTCCCAAACGGATTACTCTTCACTTTCCAATGTAATTGAGTGACATTTTTTTCTTGGTTTTAGTAATAAAATACTCATTCCTCAAAAAAAAGCTTTTCGGTATAATTAAAGTAATGAAACAAATGTACCTTTCATGACTTTAAAAGTAAGTCTTCCACCAAATCAACTCGTTTGAAGGTGATCGAATTTGAAAAGAAAAAGAAAATTATAGATGAAATATTATTATATTTTATTTATTATTTTAAATATTTATCTAAATATATAATCTTAGCACGGTGACCGTAAATCTGAACTCAGACATTCTTTTATTTTATTCCATACTATCATATATGTATTTTCAAAATCCAGCTTTAAAATAAAACCCTTTTTACCTGATTGGCTATAAAAACTCCATCATGAATATTCATGTGCCACCAATTAAAAAAAGCAAATTGGTCCACTACCACTACCTCATTAACAATGCATATACTGCATGACTTAGTTTACAACCGGTATGATTAGTGGAGTTAGAAAATTATTTTTAGAAGCACGGTATGATTGCTGATGGCGTTAGAAAATTATTTTAAGAAGCACACATTAATCCCGAATTAGAAAAAAATTCACTATAAGTGCCTACCCCATATTGATTGAATGTGCTTGGCTTGTCTTTTGCACTTTCTATATAAGAAAAATCAAGCCCCATTTGTGTTTCCTATTAACAGAGAGTCACACATTGTTTGACTGTCAAAAGTTGGTTTTCACATTTTTTGAAGCGGAGATGGTTCTCTATATTTTGCCTTTTATATTATTTTTATCTTCGTAATTTTAATTAATTTTATTTTGATCATTAATTTTAGATTGTGTCAATTTGATTCAATAACATTGATTAGGATTTTTTTTAAAAAAATGATTATTAAGTTAGTTGAAATTAACTCATTAAGTTAAACAACTTTATAATTTTGATTATAAAAGCATAAGACATGCATTGAAATTACAGAGATTAAATAACACAAAAATAATGTACAAGAACTAGCGATGTAATTTGTCCAAAAATTAACCGGTCTACGTTCTTCTCGCACCTTGTTCCCGCCATCTCCTCATTGCTCTCTTTCTGAAAGACCCACCAGAAAATTTGTCCAGGCGAGTGAGTTAGTATCTTACTAGTGGATGGAAGAATTTCCTATGCAACTTTTCAAACAACCTAATTGTACATAATCTATTGATCAATCTTACACAAACACAACAGTTTCTTTCATTAATCAAGAACAACAACTTGGTTCAACATTTATGAAAGAAAGGATTTATGAAAGAAAGGAAACATGGTAAAAACTGTCTGCGTCAAAGTGAGTAGAAGCAACACAACAGCACCCAGAAACGAAATGATTGTCCATGGACTATTGAAGTAATTATGCCTTAATTTTGCAGTCCATATGTTCCAACGCCGTCTACAATGCTCATTGATATCGTTGAAAACTTCGGAGTAACAAAAGCCATCGCGAGACACAAAGACACAAGTAGAGGCTTTGGTAAACATGGCGCAAATAGCTTCGTCATCGCCTAACATGTTATTGATTATTCCATTACGACGGAGCAAGCTGACATCCTTGGACGAGTTGATGAGGCAAAACATGAAAGTCAAATAATCCGTGACATATTTAGGGTTCGAATCTTGAAGATGCTGCTCGTGCGCAATTATTAGAGGCTTTGGTAAACATGGCGCAAATAGCTTCGTCGTCGCCTAACATATTATTGATAATTCCATTACGACGGAGCAAGCTGACATCCTTGGACGAGTTGATGAGGCAAAACATGAAAGTCAAATAATCCGTGACATATTTAGGGTTCGAATCTTGAAGATGCTGCTGTGCGCAATTATGTTTCTAAAAAGGCACTCGGTCTTCTCTTCAACCGGGAATTGTGGGATTTGCAGTGTCCCATTTTCAAACTTTATATCGAGCAAAGGGGTACTATGATTAGCCTTCTTGAATCTAATCCCCGCCTCGTGTAGCTCTGTGGCACAATGTATGAATTCCCATCTCTTTTTCTTCTTTCCATAATTTCTTTCCGCGAGCAATTTTGCAAATGAATGAGAGGTAACAAGGTGTGCTAGGTGAAGTACATGCATCACATCATGGGGTAAAACTAAAGAGGAAGGTGTTGAAATCTTTTCAGGACTGGGCGATATAGGGTAATAGTAATATTCCCTAGTGCAAGAATAGTATTGCATGGCTAAATCAATGATATTGTCTCGGGGGTCTGGAATTTTGGTCATTTCAAACATTTGTACGAGGATAAAGAATGGAAGTTGATTTTCAAATAGTAATAAATCGCGCCATATGATATGGTGGATCCACTCTATTTTGAACAAAGGGTCATGCACATCTTGCATACTTGTGATGGTGAATTTGCGAAATAACTCAATGATAAAACAGCTGTCGAGAAGCATCATTACCACAAACTCGTCTTCATTAAGGCTTACAAAGTCTGCATAACATCCACGTGCTCTTTCTTGCAAATCTCTCATGGCTACGATGTACCTATCCACGCTCGTCTCATTTCTTCGTTTAAGAAGTTGTTGCAAATTCCATAGCTTGTGTTCTTCCATCACTATGTTGGCTTTATGGTGGTGATATGGGCCTATTGCCAGTATTTCTGGTTCGTAAGCCTTTTCATTTTGTCTGCGAAGTCGATCATATACTTTGTAGATATTACATTCACAGTGCCTATGAGACAGGTGAGTAAGCTTATTGTCTAAATGAAGGGAGACATGATCTTGAACTCTTGAATTGGGCACCATATCTCATAAAATTAGTGGAAACTCTGTCAAAACAAAATCAATAAAAATAAAATTTGTTAACCAAAACAAAATAATAAAAACAGAGGATTGTGCAAAGTGTCTACATGCTTTACCATATGTAAATATAAATAAATTAAATTAAAAGGATGTAGCAGATGAAGGAAGTGTAGTTCATGAAATTAAAATTAAAATAAAAAAAAAATTAAAATAAAAATGTTTGCAACAACATAAAGCTTACATGTTAGAAACTAAAGTTGTTCTTTCTAGTTACTCTGTTTCCTTTCGCGTATGGGTATGATTGAATTTGAAAATGAGAGCTAGGTCCCTTATAAAAAGCACTCAATCATGACAGAGTGGAAGTAGGGGTGAGCATGGTCCGGATTGGATTAGATTGGGATAAAATCAAAATCAATCTGTTATTTATTGTTCCTGAAAAACTAGAACCAATCCAATCCGTTTAAATCATGGAACCAATCCGAACCAATCCATTTAAACACGGATTGGATCGATTTAGGACCACGGATTCACATAATTAAATAACAAAAAAATATATATAACACTTTAATTTTATAAAAACATAAATATAGTGCTATATTAGTTCCACAATAGCAACAGGTCTTTTATAATAGCGACATATTGTTCTAGAATTTAAACAACCATAAGAAAACTGGTTTCATCATAAGTATTTTGACCATTACAAATTAAAACTAAAAACTAGCAAATAAAAGTAATAAAAGAAGATATTATGCGGGCTTAGGTTTGAGTTTAGGTTTTATATGGAATAAGAGAAGATATTATGAAAGATTATGTATAATAAAAATATAAACTACTTGTATACGGTCCAAATCGGTTCCAATTCGGAATCATGAGGTTCAATCCAGAACCAATCCGTAGACTACGGATTTTTAATTCTTTAATCAGAAATCGAACTATGGATTAAAAAAACTAATCCAAACCTACCGGATTAGACTGGACTAGATCGAATTACAAATTTTAAGAATTTCTTGCTCAGTCCCAGGGGAAGGAGAGCATGCTTTTGTTTGCTTTAAAGTTGCTTTTGCTTTTGTGAACCAGCATCCCAACTTTTTTGGGATTGAAACGAAGCCACTATAGACGGTCTTTTAGCTGGGGTCCACCTTCGCTTACTATTTAAATCGTCGGCATTATAGGATTTATCAAATAGATATTTAGGGATGTTTTGAGAAATTGGTTAAAAGTTAATTTTTAATTTTTTTTTTTTTTTGGTTTGTGTTTGTATGAGTATAAAAAATATGTAGATGATGTGACTAAAAATAGGTTAAAAGTTAAAAGTTGACTTTTAATCAACTTTCCAAATAAGCTCAAAAATAAAGTTGTACGTTGGATCATATATTGATAAAATAAATGGTAAATGTAATTTAAGAATAAATTGCTCATTTTTCTAAAACACATATCATTTGATTAAGTGAGTGTTAATATCATATCAACTTGAATTTTCACATATTATGATATTGAATTATTTGACTTCAGAATAGCCCTGACCAACCAACGCAACAAAACCCAATGGTAAATAATTGAGTTATATGATGAGTCTTTTATATGGCATCAATGTTAGAAATTTAGAAAATTTATTAAAATACATTCAAAAAAAATTATGTAATTTAAAATTACTTTAAGTGCAAATTTTATCATATAAAAATTGAATCTGAACAACACGTCACTTTTTTTGGATGAGTTTTTTACACTAATAACTTTATTAGAAGATAAGACTGCTCACAAAAAAAGAAAAATTCTATTTGAGAGGTTCTCTTAGTTCTTATTCACCGCGGATCGTTTGGGCCATATCTCTGTCTTATTCATTTATCAAAATTGTGTCGTGTTACAAGAAGATTCGCGTCAAATCATACCAAAAAAGAGAATCCAAAGAATCCCATGCTGCGTCCACTTCTCAGACCCCCGAGAGAGGAATGAGAGAGTGATGTTGCCTTTCACTTTAGAGCACATCAAGAAAAAATAAGCACAAGAAAAATAAAAATAAAAATAAAAACAAAAGCATGAAAGAAATTGAAAAAATAGGGTTTGGAGAAATCGAATTTAAAACATAGTTTCCAATTTCTACCTACTTTGCAAAACCTACTGTGTGATCTTCATGAAAAACATGTGTCAACACAATTTTTAGCCCAGTCAATCAAATATATACCGTGGAATGTGCAGTGGTGGAACCATTGTTTGCAATATTAAACCCATTATTGTTTACCTTACACTACTACAATAATGGTAAGTGGGTATATTTCATATCAATAAAGACAGTGGCAATCGTTAATAAGTTATAATTTTTATAAGAAAAATGTTTGAGTGCCACAATTTTTGTAGTCACAATGGCTCAAAATTGTCAAAACGATGTCGTTTTGGGTACAAAACATGCCAAAACGACGCCGTTTTGACAATTTTGAGCCATTGTGACCACAAAAATTATGACGCATTGTTATTTTTATAAATGTGACTTTATTATAGTTTATTCAATAAAGCATTAAATGTTGTGGCAAAGTTTAATATCATATTTGTTTTCTCCTCTCTGCACCTAGTTGTTGAATGATTATTAGTAATAAAATATTACTCCTTTGTTGATCTTTAAAATAATAAAAATAAAATAAAACCGCTCAATCACCTCGTGCATACATTAGTGCCCTCCTCACTTCTCTTCCCGCATCTCTTGCCCAAACAATCAAAACAAGACAATATTTTACGGATAAATTATAATGACTTTTTTTGAAATTTTAAAAAACTATATTAAATTTTATAATTTTAATACAATTATATTAATTTTTTTAAATAAGATTAAATGTATCAAACTAACACAGATATCATAAAAATACAAAATAAACAATATAAAATATATATTTTAGTATAAAAGAGATAATAAAAAAATGTCATCCGTATAACTAACAAATTATTGATAATACAAAAAAAAAAAAAATTAAGTGTTATATAAACTAAAATAACAAAAAAACTTAATGTAATTATGTCAAAAATATATATTTTTTTTTTTTTCAAATTTCAAAAGATGTACGTGTAATTTACCCTTTTTCTATCAATCCACCCGGCGCCAAACATGTTGGATTATTTTATATGATTCACGCCTTTCACCCTTTTTACTCTTTTTTTTTGGGGGAGGGGGCAGGGAAATGAAAAAATTTATTGATATAAAGCATAATCAGGATCCATTTGGGAAGAACTAAAGTGGATTTTTTTGGCTATTTTAGTCACAAAAGATAAAATAAGCTATTTTAGCCACAAAAAATAAAACATCACATCTAACCCATAATTATTACACTATTCTCTCACAAAAAAATCAAAAAAGCCAAAAAACTAAAAAGTCCTTCACAAACCAAGCTTTTTAGCCCAAGCTAAAATAGTCAAAAAAGTCAAAAAATCAAAAAATCAACCCACTTCCCAAACGGAGGCTGAGTACGTTAATAATGATTTTTAAAAATCTATTTTGTAAGATGTGAAAAACTCAACCCCAACCTACGAATCCATCCAATCATATCTATTTAAAATTCGTTTTAACCCGTCCAAATATATTGACTTAAATGGATTGCACCTTGCCAACCCAATTGCGTTGGACATGAGTACTTATTTAAACCATATTTATTTATCACTATTGTACCGCCACTCCACCTTTAACTACCGCAGCTGCCACTCCACCAGAATGATCCTCCACCTGCACTGCCACCAACAGCACCACTCTATCACTACAAGAAAAAATACATTTGGCGACAAAATTTTTAGTCGCCAAAAGAAAATTTTTAGTCGCCAAAAGTCAGGTTTTAAGTTTCCCTGATTAAATTTTTTAGTCGCCGGCTTGGTCGCTGGAAAACTGTCGCGAAAGGTATTGGCAACTAACAAACTTTTAGCCGCCCAAAAACCAAGTCTGTAGCGACTACAATTTTCGTCGCCAAAGATTATTTATATTTTTTAAATTATACATTTGGCGACTAAAAATTTAGTCACCAATAGTGAATTATTTTTTTTTTTAATTTATACATTTGCCGACTATTTTTTTCGTCACCAATACTGAAGCTTTTGGCAACTACCCGTTTTAGTGGCCAAAAGCTTATTTCTGAAGGAAAAAAAAAAAAAAGAAGAAGAAGAAGAAAGAAATTACCCTTGGCTCTTTTCAAGTTTTGAACCACCAACCTTCTACATTCTAAACCTCTAGAAACACACTCTCTCCGCTATGCCACAATAACACCACATGAATATATATGCAAAATATATTATTTATATAGTATATTGACCCGTATTAATATTAAACTATATATATAAACATAATTATTTTTATTCAATATAATTTATGTAAAAAATAAATTATTTATTTTTAAAAAAAAAAGAGCCACTTTTGGCGACTAAATTTTTTTTTAGTCGCCAAAAACCTTAGTTTTGGCTACCACCAATAATTTAGTCGCTAAAAAAATTAATTTCCGCCTAAAAATAACCACTTTCGGCGACTAAACTGATTTTAAGTCGCCAAAGCCGCCACTTTTGCCGACTAAACTCAATTTCAGTCGTCAATTGTCCACTTTTAGCTACTAAATTTTTTTTAGTAGCCAAAAACCTTTACTTTTGGCTACAAATTTTTTTGTTGTCGGTAGAACACCTACAATCGGCGACCAAACCATTTTTTAGTCGCCAAAACCTATGCTTTTGGCTACTAATGTCTTTTAGTCGCCAAAAACCTTCACTTTTGGCTACTAAAATTGTTTTAGTCGCTAAAACCCATATAATCAGCAACTAAACTGATTTTTAGTCGCCAATAAGTATACATTACATTTGGCTACTAATTCAATTTTAGTCGCCAATTGCCCTACTTTCAGCGATGAAATTTTGGTCGCTAAAACTGCTTTTTATTGTAATGTATTTTCGTCGCCGCCGTTGCCGCAGCCACCAGCTGCCATATTAGAAGGAAAAAAATCCATTATCATGTCCACTGCCATCACTACTAAATTATTACAACAAATTAAGATTTTAGAAACAAAAATTTATAGACAACATTACTTTTAAGGAATCAAATATTTTAGTTGCCAAAAGTGTCATTGTTATAGTTTAGTGACAAAATTAGACATTTAATAATGAATTACTATCATTTATGCTGTATTTGATTCATGAATTTGGTAGGAATTTAGAAAATAAAATAAAAATGTCAGTAAAATGTGAATAAAATATAACTACATTTTATACATATTTTTTCTTTCTCTTTTCAAATTCCTTTCAAATCCATGAACTAGACAGAGCGTTAGGAACCAAA